CATGGTACATTCAATATTTTTTGCCAACACCACAATTTGAATGCCTCAATTCATCTGCAGTCTTCCTTATTCATTGTCCAGCTCATGCATGCATTTGAGGCTATAGAAAATATCATGCCTTGGGGAAAGTGCATCTTAGTCCTCAAACTGACATCTTTGCTCTTTAACACTGTGAAGAGGTCTTTTGCAGATTTGCCCAACATGAAGTTTTATTTCTTGACTGCTATTTCCATACATGCTGATTGTAAACTGAAGTAAAAAGAAATCCCTGACAAGTTCAATCTTTTCTCCATTTATCACTATGCTGGTTATTGGCCCATTTGTGAAGATTTTAGTGTTCTTTATGCTGAGATGTATCAGACAGTGTTTCTCTGCTATTCATAAGGTTTTCCCTGTCCAATTCTTTGAGAAGTGGATGGCCTCTTCCTTCTCCCTAGTCTGTCTCAGTCTGTAAGCCATGCTGAAACCTGTGCACCATGTGCAACTCTGCTGGCCTTTGAAACACTGGTGGCACAGCCTCAAGCTCACAGCAACATGCCACCACAGTATGACAAACCAACAGACAAGTTTGTCTCCCTTAGCTGTTCAAAACCTCTCCAACCTGCCCTTATCTGGATCCCTGCTGCTGTTTCCTCACTCTGTCCTTGTCCTCCTGGCTTTTCTATCCTTTACCCCACTTTCCTGCTGCCTCAGGGTGGGGCCTGGGTCCCTCCCCTTACCTGGATCCCTGTGAGAAGAACACACTTGACATTTCTCAAGCTGAAAGAACTGAGGAAAAATATTAAGCTTCGAGTTTCTATACTGAAAGATTCTATGGGCAAAATATTGAATGATGCAGGAAGCACCAAAAGAAGATGGAAGGAATACACAGAGTCACTGCACCAAAAAGAACTGGTAGAACTTCATCCATTTCAGGAGGTGGCATATGATCAAGAACCAATGGTACTGAAGGAAGAAGTTGAAGCTGCCCTGAAGGAACTGGCAAAGAACAAGGCTCCAGGAATTGATGGAATACCCATTTAGATGTTTCAACAAACACATGCCCCACTGGAGGCACTCACTTGGTTATGTCAAGAGATTTGAAAGACAGCTACATGGCCAACTGACTGGAAGAGATCCATATTTGCACCCATTCCAAAGAAAAGCGATTCCACAGAATGTGGAAATTATTGAACAATATCATTACTATCACACACAAGTAAAATCTTACTGAAGATAATTCAAAGATGGTTGCAGCAGTATATTGACAGAGAACTTCCAGAGGTGAAGCTGGATTCAGAAGAGGATGTGGAACAAGTTGCTGATGTCAGATGGATCTTGGCTCAAAGTAAAGAATACCAGAAGATGTTTACTTGTGTTTTATTGACTATGCAAAAGCATTTGATTATGTGGATCATAATCATAATATTGAATGATGCAGGATCCATTGTTATGTGGATCATAACAAACTGTGGATAACATTGAGAAGAATGGGAATTCCAGAACACTTAATTGTACTCATGAGGAACCTGTACCTAGACCAGGAGGCTGTTGTTCAAACAGAACAAGGGGACACTGCATGGTTTAAAATCAAGAAGGGAGTGCATCAGGGTTGTATTCTTTCACCATACTTATTCAATCTATATGCTGAGCAAATAATCTGAGTAGCTTGACTATATGAAGAAGAACGTGGCATCAAGATTTGAAGAAGAATCATTAACAATCTGCAATACACTGATGACACAGCTTTGCTTGCTGAAAGTGAGGATGACTTGAAGCACTTTTTGATGAAGATTGAAGAATTCAGTCGCAGTATGGATTACATCTCAATATTAAGAAAACAAAAATCCTCACAACTGGACCTATAGGTAGCATCATGATAAATGGAGAAAAGATTGAAGTTGTCAAAGACTTCACATTGCTTGGTTCACATTTATTGGTTCTACAATCGATGTCAATGGAAGCAGCAGTCAGGACATCAGACGACATATAGCACTGGGCAAGTCAGCTGCAAGGGACTTCTTTCAAGTGCTGAGAGCAAAGATGTCTCCTGAGGACTAAGGTGCGCCTGACACAAGCTATGATATTTTCAATTGCCTCATATGCATGTGAGAGCTAGACAATTAATAAGGAAGACTGAAGAAGAACTGATGCTTTTGAGTTGTGGTGCTAGTGAAGAATGTTGAAAGTACCATGGACTGCTAAAAGAACTAACATATCTACCCTAGAGGAAGTGCAGCCAGAATGCTCCTTGGAAGCAAGAAAGGCTAGACTTTGTCTCACCTACTTTGGTCATGTTATCAGAAGGGATCATTCCCTGGAAAGGATGTCATGCTTGGTAAGGTGGAGGGTCAACGAAAGAAGGGAAGGGAAGGCCCTCAACCAGATGGATTGACACAGTGGTTGTGGTGATGGGCTCAAGTATAGCAAAGATCACAGAGCTGGCGTGGGACTAGGTGGTGTTTTGTTCTGCTGTACATAAGGTGCCTATGAGTCGGAGATGACTCAACAGCACCTAACCACAACAACAATATGCTGAGATGTAATCCATACTGGATGTTGTACTCTTTGATCTTCAGTGTAAGTGCTTCAAGTCTTCTTCAAGCAAGGTTGAGTCACCTGAATATTGCAAGTTGTTATTAAGTCTTCCTCCAATCCTGTTGCTGTATTCTTCTTCATATAGTCCAGCTTCTTGGATTATTTACTCAGTATACAAATTGAATAAGTATGCTGAAAGGATATAACCCTGACACACACCCTTCCTGATTTTCAACCATGCTGTTCTTTTCAAATGACTGCCTCTTGGTCTATGTACAGGTTCCTCATGAACATAATTTAGAATTCTGGAATCCCCATTTTTGCAACGTTATCCATAATTTGTTATGATCTGCATAGTGTAATGCTTTTGCAGAGTCAATAAAACACAGGTAAACATCTTTCAGTTATTCTCTATTTTCAGCCAAGATCCATCTGTCAGCAGCAATGATATCTCTCTTCGCATGTCCTCCTCTGAATCCAACTTGAATTTCTGGCAGTTTCCTGTTGATGTACTGCTGCAATTATTTTTAAGTTATCTTCAGCAAGATTTTACTTGCATGTGATATTAATCATACTGTTCAATAATTTCCACAGAATTTTGTAGGACTGCTACCAGCCAAATACAGCACAATTTGAGTAGCAACATAAATAAGGTAAACAGTAGTTTATAATCCATCAAATAAAATAGAAATTGATAAGTCCATACTGATAATAAATAAGTAAACCATAAATAAATACATAAGGAAGAAGAGAGTGCCTTCCTTACAATAAAATAACAAAACAAAACAAAAAAACCTCTTTTGCTGTGAAGTCGAATTCTGACTCACAGCAACCCTATAATGCCAACTCATAAATGGGGAAGTAGTGAAGTTGAAAAAATCACCATTTTGCAATGATCATAATAAAGACTTATTCAAGCAAGAATAATCAATCAATAACATGTATTTGACTGAAAAGGACCTCTTTGGCAAGAAATAAGCATATTTTTCAAAAATATAGAAGAATTGTTTGTGGTTATAGAGAAAAAGGTGGAATAGTAAAGAGACAAAGAGAAATGAGGAAGTTCACCTAGAATGTAATTCCTGTCTTCAGCGGTAAGTCTTCAAAGAAGATTTAAATGGCTGGAATCTACCTGAACTGATAAAAACAAGAATAATGTTAAAATTTTGTTTTGACTATATTCTGAGTTTCTGTCATTTAAAAAATACTATATACTGGGATATTTTCTGGGCCTGGAATAAAACTCACTCTCAGGGGCTGGCTCTCAGCCCAATAGTAAGCAAGATGTACACGCAGACCACTCAACCCAGGGTGACACACTCACATACTCTATGGAAATGCATCCCTTGGAGCAATCGCCACAACCACGGGGCACCAGAAGGGCGCACATGGGGCACCAGAGGGGCAACATTCGCATGGAGGAAATGCAGGACACACAGGCGTACTGAGATGAGCAGGGGGGGAAGGGGGTTACTAGGCAGAGATGGCAGGAGACTGGGTTAGGGTTGGGGATGGTAAATTGGGAGTGAAACTGAATGTACAAGTAATGTTGAATGTAAAACAAACTCTGCTCTGTGAAATTTTTTTTTTTTTTTTTGAAATACTATATATGCAAAATCTTACTGGTTGGTGACTAATACACTTATTATGAAGTCCTTAATTATTATATCTATTTCTATATATATAAATTTACCAGATTACATTTGAGGTCTCTAGGTGACACAAATAAGTTTGTGCTCAATTACTAACCTAAATGCTGGCAGTTCAAACCCACCCAGTGGCACCGCAGAAGAAAGGCCTGGCCATCTGGTTCCATAGATTAAACTACAGGAAAAAAAAAAAAAACCCGTTGCCAATTTCAACTCCTAAAGATTCTATAGGATAGAGTAGAATTGTCCCATAAGGTGTCCAAGGCTGTAAATCTTTTCTGAAGTAAATCGCTACATCTTCCTTTCCCTCAGTGTTTGATTGGGTTCCAACTGCAAGCCTTCTCAGCAGTCTAGCGCTTAACACAGCACGACGAGGGCTCCTTTCAATGAAAATTACAGCCATGAAAACCCAGTTCTACTCTGTCACACGTGGGGTTATCTTAAGTCCGAATAGACTCAATGAAAACGAGTTTTTTAAGAATAAGAATGTCTACTTCCGTAGTGATATGGCCTGGGGAACCCAAGGAGGGGTCGTTATGAGTCGGGTCCTATTCAACACACATAACGTCCCCACCTCAGATCAATTAAAACAAAATTTCCCCCCTTTGTTATCTCCCCGCCACCCATGACAGCCTGAGCCGCACATGCGCAGTCAGTCTCGCGTTCAGTGCCGCCCCTAAAGGAAAGCCGGGCCTCTAATCGCGCGCCACCAGGCTTGGAAACTGTGGGACAGCGCAGGCGCACTCGGAAGCCTTCGCGAAGCTGCGCCTCTTCCTCTCTCGGGTCCTGGGCCCTAGGTATGCAAAGTGTCTTTAGGCTTGGCAGGCGCTGAAGAGGCGGGGGCCGTAGACCCCAGCCAAGGCTCAACAGCACGGAGGTGCAGGATCTTGCCGAGGGCCCTGGGCTAGGCGCCGCTAGCAGCGCCGGCCCCGGGGCCCCCAGAACCCCCAACCCTACGCCGGCCTGCGCCCCGGCCCAACAGCTGACCCTGCTGGTGATGCGCCCAAGTGGAGGGCAGGACGAGGCTGCGGCGGGGGGCGTTCTTAGGCAGGCGATAGGCAAGCCAGTTAAAAACCTGTATGACTTGGCGGGGGATGGCGAGGAGGAGGCGGGTGACGATGAAACAGACTTGCTGGACACTTCCGATCCCCCGGGGGGAGGCGAGAGCACGGCTAGTTTGGAGGATCTGGAGGACGAGGAGACCCATTCCGGGGGCGAGGGCGGCAGCGGAGGGGCCCGGAGACGCGGCAGCGGCGGGGACAGCACGAGCAAGACCTGCACCTACGAGGGCTGCAGCGAGACGACGAGCCAGGTGGCCAAGCAGCGCAAGCCGTGGATGTGCAAGAAGCACCGCAATAAGATGTACAAGGACAAGTACAAAAAGAAAAAAAGCGACCAGGCTCTGAACTGTGGTGGGTCAGCCTCGACATCCTGCGCAGGGAACGTCAAGCTGGAGGTATGGAATTTTAGCGAGGGCACTGGAGGGTGAGAGATGGAGGGAGAAACCCATTCCCAGGGCCTCTTCATCTTCCAAACAGGCCAGATTGCAGTGGCTGGACTTGTGGCTGAGAGTTAGTAAGTGCTTACCCAAAATTAAAGTTCGTACTAAAGTGTTTGTTGCACCCTTCTGATAGGTGAATAAATTTAAAAGAAAATATGATAAATCAGCATACGTGTCATTTGAAATAGCAGGGATATGGGCTAGAAAGATAGATGGTAAATGATTGATGTGTTCCATCACTAAAACCAGGAAAACCAAACTCACTGCCATCGAGTGAATTCTGACTCATAGAGACCCCTTCTTGGGTTTCTGAGGTGGTATCTATCACTACGGAAGTAGATTGACCAACCTTCCTTTCCAGGAGTTTAATAACCTGTTCAAAACCAGAGAGTCAGCAATTGAAGGAGCAGGAATTTGCAGCTTGAAGTTCTACTTCAGAGCCCTGGCTCTAACCTTTGGCACAGTTCAAATAAATTCAAGTCTTTTTGAGCCAGGCCCTATTTTCAGTTTTATTCTTTAGTAATACTAAGAACTGGGTACTAAAAAAGGGGGTATGAGAACCACCAGAGCTCCCAGTTTCATCACTAAAGGGGCAGGCAAAAAGACTTAATCTAGATTAAATTGGTACCTTGGAAAAGAAGGTAATCGCTTCCTAATTTCAGTACCCTATTCTCAATAAGAAAGGAGCTCTGATAGCACAACTTTTAGGTTGCTACACATAAGCAGATATTTTTATTTGTCTGCTAACCAGAAGGTTGGCTGTTGGCACCTACCAGCTGCTTCGAGGGAGAAAGTTGAGGCAGTCTAGTTCCACAAAGGTTTATAGCCTTATAAACCCTATGGGGCAGTTCTGCACCGTCACTGAGAGTAGGAATCAACTGGATGGAAGTGGGTTTGGTTTATTTTCAGTGTAGCAGCAGCCCAGCTGGCAGCAGTGGTTCGACATTCAGCTGCTGACTGAAAAAGGTCAGTAGTTGGAACCCACCAACTTTGGGGGAGAAAGATGTGGCAGTCTGCTTCCATAAAGATTAATACCAAAACCAAACTTACTGCCGTCGAGTCGGATCTGACTCACAGCAACCCCTCCTTGGGTTTCTGAGGCAGTATCACTAAGGAAGTAGATTGCCCAACCTTCCTTCCGAGGATTACAGCCTTGGAAATCTTCTACTGTCTGTGGGGTCACTTTGAGCTGGAATCGCTGGACAGCATTCTCGGTATACTGCTCTCAGTACCACAGTTCTTAGTATCCTGCTTTCACTACCCCTTTTTGGGTACCCAGTTCTTAGTACTGCTAAAGAATAAAATTAAAAATAGGGCCTGGCTCAAAAAGACTTGAATTTATTTGAACTGTGCCAAAGGTTAGAGCCAGGGCTCTGAAGTGGAACTTGAAGCTTTAGCATCATCTGTAAAACGAGCATTAAGATAGTACCTACTCCATAGTGTTGCTATAAAGATGTGAGAGATTTTATAGTGTCTAAATAGTAAAATTCTATAGCCATTAGTCATTATTATTTTATATTTTTATTAACAGTGTGTTTTTAGGGAGCTCTGGTGGTGTAGTGTCTAAGGCATTTGACTGCTAACCAGAAGGCCGGCAGTTCAAATCCACCAGCTACTCCTGGCAAAGAAGGTTGGGCAATCTACTTCCATAGTGATACCACCTTGGAAACCTAAGGAGGAGTCGCAACGAGTCGAAATCAACTCGACGGCAGTGAGTTTGGTTGTTTGGTGTTTTTGTTATACTTTTAGGTTGCTACACATAAGCAGATATTTTATCCTGTGTTTTTCTCCTTTCAATCAAAGCTATGATCTTTCAGTGCAGAGAGAATTCAACTGAATTTTGTTAAAAGTGATCAAGAAGTTAATTTTAAAAACTGAAAGCTGTCCTAGACTGTATTCTAAAAGTCTTTAAATTTCTTAGTTTCTAAGCAGCTGCCCCATTGCTAAAATTTTAAACTTTGGAATTGTTTACATATTTAATAGTCCAAGTATTTCTAAAATCTACAGTCGCCAACATTTCACGCTTAATTGATACTAGTTAGGGTACTGAGTAACTTTACTTCCACTTTTATCACATTGAAGGTTAATCGGTTTAAGAATGTGATAAAACGTAATGAACCCTCTTCCAAAAAAAGTACATTATGTAGGTGTAAAATTTTGCATACAGATTCATGAGGTTCAAGACCCCTGTGGATCTTAAGTTAAAGACTCTCTCTACCCATATCCTTGTAAAATAATCTTTTGCTAAATCTTAGGTTAGAAGGAATTATGAAAATAAGCATTTCAATGTAGAATGAAAATGGGTAAAGTGATCATATCCCTCTTTACGTTCTAAAGATACTCGTTTACTTCAAAATTCTTTTCAGAGAGAAAAGATTACTTCTTTTTAAAGAAGAGTTATTTTACCTATGGCAACTTTCATTTTTTAACTACCAGCATTTACATCTACAGTTTGAGGAAAATGTATATAAGGCAAGTAGATACTGAATTACAGCCTTTCTTTCCCCTCAAATAAAGCTTTAATAGTTTTCCTAAGTTAAAATAATTCACATGATTTTTTAAGATCCCTGGGTGGTACACATACTCTGTGCTGGACTACTAACCACAGCTTTGGTGGTTCAGATCCACCCAGCAGCACCGTGGAGGAAGGCCAGGCGATCTACTTCATAAGATTAAAAGAACAAAACCCAAGCCTGTGGCCGTGCAGTTGACTCTGACTCACGGTTCTGACTGTGTGTGTTATAAAATAGAACTGAGCTCCTTGGCTGTAATCTTCATGGAAACAGACCACCAGGCCTTTCTTCCATGACATTGCTGAGTAGGTTTAAACTGCCAGTCTTTAGGTTAGTATATGAATTCAAACCACTCGTACCGCCCAGGGACCTTTTCATAAGATTACATCTATTGAAAACCCTATGGAACAGTTCTCTCACACACATGGGGTTGCCATGAGTCAAAATTGACTCCTGGGCAATAGGTTAGATTTTTGGTTTTGCATGATTTTTTAGGGAGAGAATTGCAATAAGCAGCAAATAATGGCCTATTATTCTTGTCAGAACACATTACCAGGTTCTGAGGAGGTTATACAGAGCTGTAAGTCTTTATCTTTGTTGAACTGAGTGTAAAGGAAAATTACTAACAGTGTCGGTCAGGATAGAATAAGATCATCCTTATTCTATCTACTACTAATATGTAGTACTACTTTAGAGGGTCAGAGGGTTGATAGATCATTATAGGCTGAGATACTCTAGAAGCCTTTACAGAGGAAGTACAACTCTGCAGAAGCCAGAAAGGATGGCTAATAGTTTATGCTAAATTGTGTGCCAGGCCCTGTGCTATGATGTAAATGGATTCTCACAACCCCTCTGCAAAGACACAGATACTGTATTTTACATTCATAGAAACTAAGGCATAAAAAGGTGAGTGCATACATCCAGCAATTAAGGACTCAAACTCAAACATTCTAATTCTAGAGCTTCAGTCTTTCCCTCTATCCTATACTGCTTTTCTAGAATTCTGATAGGTAAGGGGAAAAGGAGAACATTTTAAGAACAGAAGAACAGGAATGAAGAAGCTATGTGTGGAAAGATAGTAAGTAGCCCATTCTACCTAAAGTAGAATATTTGTTTGAAAAAGTCATGAAAGATAAATTTAGAGAGATAGGTTGAAGCCAATTTTTATATGAATGCCATGGTATGGAATTTGAGTTTGAAGTCTTTAAATGAAAGTTTCTAATTAGAGAGTGTGGTATTCATGAGTGGTGCAAATGGTTCGACGTGTGGCTAGTAACCGAAAGGTTGATGGTTTGAATCCACCCAGAGGTGCCTCGGAAGATGCACCATGGAATGCCCATGGAAGACTAGAATTTCAGCTATTTAAAATGTGTTTCTTACAGAAATCACAGTTAAGGAACAAGGCCTGGCACTCTACTTCTGGAAAATCAGCCATTGAAACCCAACAGAGCACAGTTCTACTCTGAATCAACTCCATGGCAACTGGTTTGGTTTGGGTTTGTAATTAGGGAGTAGTGGGCTAAAGATGTTTTGGGCATCCAAATATGATCAATGCCCATGGAAGCAGCAGTCAAGAAATCAAATGATGTGTTGCACTGGGCAAACCAGCTGTAAAAGACTTCTTTAAAGTGTTAAGGAGCAAAGATAGGCCTTTAAAGACTAAGGTACCCTTGACCTAAGTCATTGTTTTTTCATTAACTTCATATGCTGGACAGTGAGTAAAGAAGACTGCAGAAGAATTGATGCATTGGAATTGTGGTGTTAGTGAAGAATGTTGAATTGGACTGCCAGTGGACTGGCAGAAGAACCAACAAATCTGTCTTGGAAGAAGTGCTCCTTAAAAGCAAGAATGGCCAGACTCCGTCTCTCGTATTTTGGTCATGTTATTTGGAGGGACCAGTCTCTGGAGAAGGATATCATGCTTGTTAAAGTAGAGCATAAGGAAAAAGGGAAGAACTCCAACGAGATGTATTGACACAGTGGCTGCAACAGTGGGTTCAAATTTACCTCAAGTGGACACATGCCCTTGAGAGAACAATTATGGGAGAAGGAAGGGCACCTTATGCACAGGGAGACAGCTTAGGGGGCAGGAGAGTATGGAGGGATGGACACTGGGAAGTGGTACCTTGGGGAGGAAATTGGAGGGGAGCTGTTGCATTGTGGTAAATTGTGGTCAATGACATGAGACAAAGTATATGTGAACTGCTGTATCGAGAGTGAATTTGCTCTGTAAATCTTCACCCAAATCTAAATAAAATAAAATTAAAAAAAAAAAAAAAAACCAGTGGGTTCAAGCATAGCAAGGATTGTAATGATGGCACAGGATGGGCCAGTGTTTCATTCTGTGATACACACGGTCGCTATGATTTGACACTGACTCAGTAGCACCTAACTACAACAGCAATCTTTTGCGGTAGATTAAAGTTGAAGCCCTATAGATTT